CTATTTAGATTTTACTATTTATATTTAGGAAAATCTGTACATTTATAATTAGGCGGTTTAGCCGCAGAAAAAACATCAGTTTTAAATTTACACCGAAGAGTCTATTAGCCTTAGTTAAGGCACTAACTTCTCTTGGAGGTAGCGGATTGCGATCCGCTACACTCGTATTGTTCTTGTAAAGAACGAAAGGTCGGCGACCTACCTTACGCTTCCTCAAGCGCAAAGCGACGGTAGCCACTTATAGTCAGCTTTACAAGCTTTTGTCAATCTTAGTTCCCTATGTGTCAGATAATGACGGTCGAAGGGCTGGAAGCAGGATCGCTCGTTGAAGGTGCTCACCTGCTTTGATGATGCACTGATAAGGCACCTCCCTGAGCGTCCCGGTGACCAATCCTGTGGTGCTGTGGTACGCCGCTCACTTCAGCACCGGGAGGTCCAGGGTTCAATCTCCGGGCCGGGTAGAGAGGGGTTAGAGTGTAATGAATAAAACCCTACAGCACGTGCTTGACATGGCTTACACGACTCCAAAAAAAGGGTGTCGTTTACCATCATATCTGAGCGTCCCGGTGGAGGAAAAATGGGTCCAACCGTGAATTCGCTGGTGGTGAGCGTTCAAATTTATGAGGTCTGGGACAAAAAATCCTCTTCCTCTGAGACTGTCATTGATTTGACCTTGATTCAAACGGAGTTATAGCTTTTTGCGCTTGCAATCTCAAAGCTAGGAAGTCGAGCACGCAAATAAATAATTACGCGCAATGCCTGAAAAAAGGTGCGATACTGACGTGAGACAACTCTGCGCGTTAGATGTCGTGGGTTAAACCACTGGCTAACTAAGAGCAACAGATTTGAATGTATATTCGTCAGGAATGTGTGAGGCGATGGATATTGTCCAGAGTACAAAATTCCTATCACCGCAAATTCGTCTGACCCTTTCTCGGACTCGGTGAAAATTGGCATCTTCAGAAAGAGTCTTTGAAACGGTGCGGCTTGCACCAACTCTACCCTGCCTCCTTTGAAAAAGAGTGGGCGACGCTTCAATGCTACGATAGCCGAATGGGGAACTGCAAGTGACAACTTTATGGCTAACGGCGATGGACCTCAAATATGCTGAGAAGGTTGAGAGATTGTCAAGTAGTCTCGCAATTCCCGCAGATGCTTTATCTCAGGCAGTACAAGACCTTCATTTTTCGTGCACCCTTGAATCTCAGCAGAAGGTCTAAAGAGTCGGGATTTTAAGCAGGGCGGGCTTTAAATTCCTAACGGGTGCCATTAATCTCAGTCGGCCCAAGGCGGTCAACTGGGCAAGAGTTCATTTGTGCCTCGTGGAAGTCATGGCCGATGATATCCAGCTCTAAAAGAGCAATTCTTCTTTAAGAAGATGGTACACACAGCCCAGTGTTGTTGGTTATTCATGTCGAGTCTTTCAAATTCGCGAATACTCCTGGGCCGCCGTACATGTTGAGAGTCAAAGCTTTCTTTGTGTAAAAGTGCACGAAACCGGTGCAATGAACATCATCAAATTGATGTGTTGATATCTAGATCACTGTACAGTCACTACGGTAATCTTAGTAACCTTTGATTAAGTACCATTGACTTTGCTTTGAGTTTGAAAGATGATACTTGGTCTTAGCTCTTCGACTTTTATGTCGCTATTTCTGTGACTTCATTTATTGTTCCCAAGCACCAGTAAAACTGACAATGGATCGGTTCAATAATGAAGTGTAGCCAAGTGTACCTTTGAGGTAACCTTTACGAAAGGTCAGAAGTACAATGGAGGTGAGTATCTCAAGCGATGACACTCGCCATACGCTACACACGCACTTTCAATCGCTAAAATCCACAGTTCGCTCTAGTACAAGCGGTAGCACATCTTCTGCTATTGCCGGTCGAAGACGGCTCATCTCTTTCTTGCAAGTGCAAAAACCGAAGAGTATACACGTACCGGAATCGAAGCGACTCTTTGGTCTCGGAGCCACAACAAGCAAGCATTTCGTTCTCTGTTTAACGGCGCAGGACTTTAATACCAGCGGTGGCGCTCAAATAGAGCTGCATTTTGTGCAACTTTTAAGCAACTTGTCCGTCGATGTGCACTATTCCTGGAATCTAAACCAACTTGATACGATTGAACACAGCGGTATTGGACCAGAGAAGCCAAAAGGAGCATTTGCACTATTCTTTTCTGGAGGATTGACATCTTGCCAATGGATTGTGGAAGCAAAAGTAAGCGCGACAGCCATGCTCGAGTTTCTATGGACGATATGTGCCGTAATGGTGCAGAATCAGGTAAAGTTGTACTTGTTTGACAGAAGACGATTCCATGGACTTACCATAGCCTGGCAATCGCGACTTGAATATTTTAGAGTAAATTTCCACGACTAGTGCGACTTGATGCAAAAGATCTTCACGAGACAGCTCTTCGACAGAATTTGCAAAAGATATATGAGCTGGAAATCGATCTTGCAAACCACATTGTACGATATTATCCTGAATCTTTGTTCTTTTACTTAGTTAACCACTTGTTGCGAAGTCTATATTGACAAAAAGCAAAGATTCGGACGATGATCAGTGCGTTTTAGAGGAGGAAAGAAAAGAAAAGAAAACTGTTGAGGCTACCTCGGGGACCGACGTATCTGGCCTTCGACTTGGTTCTCCAGAGAGTAATGAAGCGCTTGAGCTACTAAATGACATTAATTGGAGCGAGGTTCAGCTTGTCAAAGTTGAAGATGATTTAAGCAAGATGCTAAAGACATTGGAGGATGAAAACATGGCATTTTTACTTTCATTGAATGGAGATTTATCAATTACGAAATCTGGTACAGATACAATCAAGACGAACTCTGTGGACATAATTATAAATGCCATTGATCAAGTACAAGACCGTATTTTATCGCTCCAAGACTGGACGAATGAGTCCGGCGAGTCTCTTGGTCACATCTCCAGCGATATGCAGCACTTTGAGACGTTAAACAACCAATTGGAGATGCACTTTAAAAACAGCGTGGAGCTAGAACGAGTGTTGGCTAAGTTGATGGCCCAAGTGGAATTATCAAAAGAGCATATGCTGATTTTGACGTCTTTGGTGAATGTCTTTCCGATACAAACCAGTGGGACCTCAACTGGTATCACGAATGACAAAGGTAGTGACGAGAGTCTTAAGGTTAGCGCAACGGAGCGAACGAGGGCTACGATAGCAGCTGTTGCTGCTTTGGAACATGCTATTAAGTCTACGCGAGAGTTTCCAGCATGTGAAATGGTCGCTTTACGATCGCGTGGAGTTGAACTATCCAAAGTAGCAACAGATTTTGGCGAAAAGCTGTGCATCTCATTTGATTCGTTTTTGCAGCAGACAATTAAACAAATGATAAACACGCGGGGTGTTCGTGGGCGTAATGGACGTGACCCTTTGTCGGGACATTTAAGTAGCGATGAAATGAATTGGAGTTTTACCACCGACTCTATCCATTTCGTCCTCGTTGACTATCAATCTCTTTTCGAACACGTGGGCTCACTTGATTCGCGTATACTTGCCACATTGCGACAAATATACAGCAAACAACTTGCCATTGTGTTTAACGCTCACGTTCAGTGTCTTTTTCGATTCTTGAAGGACAAACTACCACGAAATACAAAGCAGCATTTTCACAAGCCAACTTCGATGCAATCGATGGCAAGTAGTATATCTTCCTCCTTCTTTAGCACTGGTGACACAATGTGCGCTGCTCCATTGATGCAACAAGCACTTGATCATTTAACTCCTCTAGTTCTAAACGAACGCCAATTCGTGTCTCTCCTCTTTTTTTCTTCGTGTGATAAATTAAATTCCGCAAATGGCAAATATGAACTTGACGATTTGACGCTCATGATGGAAAATGTGTTTGAGAAATTGCTTAAGCGCATGATTGAATTTGGCGAAGCTGTAGGCGGGCGCAATGTTTTAGATGCACTATCTCTTGTTGTTCTCCTAAGTGGCAAGCTGGAAGTGTACCGACAACAAAGTGCATTTCTCTACAATGTCATGGTGAGTTTCCAGCTGCAAATGAAACGTATAGTTATCAAATTCATTGAAGATCAGGTATGTTGATTTAGCAGCTCATTGTCTGGGTTGTTCGAGCACTTACATGCGATATTTCCTTAGGAGGTGTGGATAAATGCACAAACTGTGGATAGTAAAATGGCAGGTGTTTTAGGTCCCACTAAAAAGATCGTGGTATGTGCCCAAATCAAAATGATGGTGTATATGTTAGCCACGTCCCTAATCCTGTTGATGATACAATCAGAACGTGATTGCTCGATTGGAAGATAGCGTGGCAGGCAAAAGCTCAGACAGCACCCTTCTGTCCATCTACCACATGATTGTACCCTCCATTATGCATTGGATTGATAAAATGGCCGACACGCGGCCAAAGTATGCACCACTTACTCGCCTTGGTAAGTTAAAGCAAAACAGTAATTGTCTTTTCGAAACGCTTTTTATGTCATGACCTCTGCCATAGAGAATTTCCATTTTCTCAGTGAAAATTTGAGGAGTATCAATTCTACGAAAGGCTTACCACTTGCGCAATATGCGGCAGAAGCATATGACAAATATGTCGACAATTTGCACCATTATGTGATATCTGTTTGGGATTATGCATTTAAACAACTCGTGGTGCGTTTGGATTTTTTTGGAGAACAAATTGCTCTGATCGCAATTGTCAATTGATATACGCAGCCATTAATTGCATCGATCGAATCACTGATGACGACAGTACCGGCATCTGAAATTCAGTATCATATATCACGCCAAGAAGTTCGACGCGTCCTTGATGCCACACCAACCACAGTAAGAACCATAATGCCTGGATACTTTGGCAAGTTTTCTTAATTGCTGTTTGGAACTCAGTTTGAAAAATCCGTTCGTGTCATGCACGATCGGATTAAAAAGCACATTCGAGAAAATCCTAAATTGCTGCCGAGCGTGTGGAAGCAGCTTGTAATATACGGAGGTGGCCGATTGTCTCTGTATGCGCTTGTTGCTGGAGACTGCTATCAGCTGCGTTTTGAGCCTCCGCTTGAGCGTGGACTGGAAGTGCTAAACAATTTTGCTTTCAATTGACTTGTATGAGTGACAATTGTTTGGTTGCAAATCCATCCTACGATTTTATCGTTCCCACACAAAATTATGTTAGACACTATAAGGTAGAGTATGAAAAACTCTGCATACGCATTTTGAAACTAATCCTGCTGTCTCCTCTTTAGAGAATCATCGCTTTGACAAGGTGTGAGTCATCAACCTCGTACCACTGATGGCTCATCACTACAGTTCTCCGTAAAGAGTTGGCGGCTTTTCGCGGACAAGTTCGATCGTCTGCAAAAAGTAAGGTCGGATTTGCGAATCTTTTTGGTAGGTACATCAATATGTAGAAGCCATTGTGTAAATATGTCTAGCGTGTAGGCATCACCGTTGCATTCTTTAATTTTTACCTTAGCAGTCCAAAAAGCCTTGCAAGACTTTCAAGCTTTCTAGGTTGGACACTACATGTTAATATCCGTACGCAGAATCTCAGGATTCTTGAACTTATACATCTGCTTGTGCTATCTTCCACTTTTTATCTGCTTGCTCATTTTGCACATCCTCAGCCTCTGAAATTAAATTTCGCAACGGCTTGTTTTTTTTTCACAATGAAGTCATCGCCCTGCTGGTCTTCACGACTTGAAGATGTGCTAACTCAATTACAGTATCCCCTCCCCCACCCGAAGTAGAAATATTTCCTACCAGTGACACTGGCATTTTGAAATGGAGTCCATTTTCTCGCTAATTGGGAGTGACTCGTCGAGACATCCGTGGAGTTGTTCAATCAAAGTCTGCGAGAGGGAGAAACTCAATCCACACTTCAAGAGATACCGCAGCAGGTCTTCACGGCACGAATCAATGATTCGGTTGAATCGTCAGTCTTTTGGTGTGCTGCTGATGGCAACGAGAGTTTCGTATCCTAGATGCTAAGGTGGGTACGCCAGAATCAGGACGTAAATCTCGTAGAGGGAAATGATCCAATTACTGCTGGCAGTCCATGTATAGTGATCACCACGTCAGAAAAGATATTTGCAGTCATCTCTACCAGGATGTTGCCCGATATTTGGCACCATTTAACTAAATCGGTCCACAACCACCAGAATGCAATTCCTGCTGTGTTTGTCTTTTGGATGACCAGATATAACATCCATACTCATCATCTTTTAGCTGTTGTGAAGGAAAGTAATGAGCGATGTGAAGCGTGAGTACACCTAGATGGCTTTACCCTTTGGCATACTTCAGTAGCACGCACATAACTGTAGACCCACTTTTTTTACATATGTGGCCTCTAACATTCACTAGGTAAGTGTTTTTCCTAGTTTCAGACGGTCACTTGAAGAACTGTCATGATACTCACAAGAGTCTGTTGAATAAAATAGGTAGCCCGATACGCTACTCCTGCGCAAGATTGCTGCAAATGTCAGAAAGGAAGGAAGGACCTGGTGGTTTGAAGGTAAGTTTCCAAGCAAATGTATTATGCTTATAGCTAGCTAATTATGCAAATCGTTGGGAGTTTTATAACTCC